AGAGAGGGGAGCTGGCTCGGATCCATAGAGCCCCAACCAGATGGGACCCTGCGCTCCTACTACCCGGTCTGAGCCCTGCCAGACTGGCCCCGAGACACTGGTGTGGGTCCTGCGCTCCCACTCGGCTGCCGCTGGCTGCCATGTGCCCGCTCACTCCCAGCCCCACCTGTCCCAGCCCCACGGCACAGGCGGGGATGACTGTGAGTAGCCCCAACCCTTCACAGCCCACACTTGCCCATCTGGACTGAGCAGCAGCGGCGGCAGACAGGGAGCAAGCTGCTGCTCAACACAGGAGAAAAGTGGCCCCTCCCGCTGCCAGTGCTCCCTGTGGCAGCAACCCAGATCCCTGCCTCTCTGCCATGTCCCCACCACCCCGTGGGGCAGCAGTGGCAACAGAGATTGGGCACAGGCAGCCTTGTGTGGGCTCCAAATGGCTGGCGCAGGGAGTGCCAGCGGCAGGAGGAACAGGGCTGCTTTTCCCCCACCCCAGCAGCAGTTTGTGCCCTGCTGCTGCTGCGCTCAGCCCATCAGGCAAGGCCAGAGCTGCCACAGGGCCCATTCTGGCAGCAGCAGTGACAAACTGCAGCTGAGCAAAGGGGAAAAGCACCCCCCACCTCCTGCCACTGCTGGGCAGTCTGGCTAAAACTGCCAGCTCTGTGCTGCCCAGGAGCTGCAGCAGAGCCTAGCGTGGTGTGGGCTCCCCCAGCAAACACTACGTAGCGGCAGCGAGGAGGATGGGTGTTTTCCTCCACCCTGAGAGCAGCTCATGCCTTGCTGCTGCTCAACCTGACAGGCTAGCCTGGAGCCAGCACAGGGCCCAAGCTGGCAGTGGCAGCAAGGAACAAACTGCAGTTGAGCGCGGGGGAAAAAGCGGCCCCTCCCCACCTGCTGCTGGCACTCCCTGCGGCATCCACCAGCACTCTGCCAGTGCCCACTCTCTGTTGCCACCACTGACCCATGGGCAATGGGGACGCAGCGGAGAGGCAGGACAGTACCACGTGGGCTCTGGGTAGCTGTCTCAGGGAGTGCCAGTGGCGGGAGGAGGAGGGTCCGCTTTTCCCCTGTGCTGAGCAGCAGCTTGTTCCCCACCCACTGCTGTTGCTCAGCCTGGATGACCCTTCTCCTCCCCCCACCACCAATAAAAATTAAGTTTAAACGTGTAAATTAAATTAAAATCTGTAAATTATACAATTTGCAGGTCTGCAGTATAAAAAGTTTGGGAACCCCTGTCATAGACCCCTGCCAGCCTGCACCCCATGCTCCTACCACCCCACTCTGGGCCCTGCAGGCCCCGTGCTCCCACACACCTGCTCACTTCTACTCCCCGCCCCCACCCTACCGCCATTTTACCCACATTCCTGCCCACCCACCAGCTGCTCTGCACCCCATGGCTCCCATACCACACACGCACACATCCCCACAAGCCCCCATACCCCCCTACACCCATGCACACCCCATACAACATACAAGTAAGACTGCACTTTGAGCTTTTATGTAATCACTTCTACATATCCAGCACAAACAAACACAAATCAGATCAAAAATATATTTTTTAAATTAAATTGAAATATATTATTATGGCTGTTTGATTTTTAGTTTTTTTTCCCTAAAATGGCAAACCCTCTTCCCCAAAGGAGTACTTCCAGGGGCAAGGGGAGGGACTATCAGTGGCAAAGGTCAGAAGTTAAGGGGATGGGACTTCCAGCCCCAAGGTAGCGGGGCACCTGTCAAGGGGCGGGGCTACTCATGTGGCCCTCAACAGCTTGCCAAAACTCAGTAAGTGGCCCTCCACCCAAAATAATCGCCTGCCCCTGCATTTAGCATTCTCCAGTCCCCCTCCTGAGGAAAGGAATCTAGGCACTGGAAGCTGAAAGGATAGAGCTTCCTCCCTATACCTCTGTCTCAGTTTAAATTTGAGCTATAAATTTGCCCATAAGACTCAAATGTTGTTTTGAAGAACCTGTCTCAGGACTAAATGGATCTTTTGATAATGAGAACAGAATCCTTTGTTATTTGGAACAGACATTCCTCCTTGTACTGACTATGAAGCAGATCAGTTCCCTCTCTGGATGAGAGACTGGCTCAAGAACATCCTCATTCAGTATTACGAACATGAACTGGACAGATCTGGATTTCTATCTGACAAGCAGCAGAGTAAAGTAATTATTTTAAAATAAAACACAGCACCTGTTACATCACTAGAGTCAAGTGAACTATTTGTAATAAATAATTCACTCTATACATTCCCCCTTTTCCTGTTAGTGAAGGGTCTTTGGGCACATGGTGATCTGCTGTGAATAAAACTTGATCTGCTAATTTTTTGTGTGAATACTTCAGCAGAATTCAGCATCTGAAAGTCAAAAACTTGAGTTGCGATATTTAGCTTTGAATAGACAGGCAGGTGACATGATACCATATTTACTGGCATACCATGCACACCTGTTCCCCAAAACTTAGCTTTTCAAAAATGGGATATGTGTCTTAAGTGGGGAAGCTAATCTTTTGCCCAGAATAGAAGAAACCCATTTTAATTCCTGCTTCATCCAACATTTAAAAACAATTACCCAGCAGCAGCAGTGCATTTCTATTCAGGCAGCTGAGGGAGTCAGTTGACTTAATGGCTCACTGGCTCTTCACTCCATAGGTGTTAATGACCATCTCTCTTTTTTATGGTCTTGATGTTCCACTACTTAAGCTAACTTGGACAAGAGGCTGAATATCTCTTTTTCAGCTGACTCTTGTTACACAATGGAACTCTTTACTGGCCTAAAACTGAGAGCCAGCTCCTGTGCCATCTACCCTAACCCCACTGTAGAAGCTGGGTAGAAGTATTCAAAATACAGCAGAAGGTAAGCAAGACAGAACTCTGACCAAAGCTCAGGCCACTGTCTCTTCACTGCTGTTTTCTACATGTTAGCTAGACAATGCTGGCATAGGTGTACTAATACGTTCTACACCCATACATTCATTCTGCTGTGCCGACACCGCCACAACCTGTTCCTCGTACTCTTCCTTCTCCCTCATACCCAGTCAGCATGTAGACTATAAAGGTACCATGAATAAGCAGCTGAAGGTTCTCTGGCATGGGGGACTCCATAGCTGGTGGTGAGCTGGGACATCTCTATGCCACACTCTAGAGGAAGGGGGCAAAAAGAAGGGTATATACTGTAGCACTCCAGTGAGACCTTGATGTTTACCCAACGCTTATGAACGAATTCGCTTACACTACAAAAACAAGATAGCTAACTTGTAAGGACAAGTTTTTTTACTGCAGTTTCCAGCTGCAAGCACTGCAAAAACAAGTCTCATGCTATTTGAGTGAGATTCTATGCGTGGGGTAATTCTAGTCGGACTATTTCTTCTATCACTTAATGGTAATTGACTTACCTACTGGTGCAGGTGCAGAAAATCTACCAAAATGAAAAACGCCTCATGGCTGGTGACCATCCCATTGAACTTCTGTTACATGACTTTGAGAAAAATTACCACATGTACGTGTATCCAGTGCACTGGCAGTTTCACCAGCTTGATCAGCCTCCTGTGGACAGGTAGAAACTCTTTATGTGTGTGCTATTCTGATCTGGATTGTTTTACTGAGAAGTCATTTAGAAATGCAAGAATTCTCTAATACATACACACTGGGACAGACTCTCAAATGACATAAACTTTCAGTCTTTAGACATGTCCTGTACAATACTTGTCAGATTTTACTTATAAATAGGATTTAGCAAGAAATACCTGCTACCCACATGTATTTCATCATAATCAATCATTGCACTTTCAACTGTGGGACTTCCCAGCAATTGGTAAGGGCTTAATCCAGGAACAAAGTATTTGGTTAGGAAGTTAATGAAGATGCAAGAACAGAGGATAGTCCATGGTGGTTAGTCACCATAAATCTATCACTGGCATTCAAAACTCATCTAAAAAGAATTAAGATAGCATTAAAGGTGGACAAGTACATTAAGTTATTTAATTTTGATTGTCGCAGTTATAGGATTGTGTATCTGACATCTCTGTGGAACCTTACTAAGGCCTCCACCTACCACCTTGTTGGATCAGGGAGCTTTCTTCTCCCTGCCAACAAATATTTTAAGGCTATAATCCCCTTGCAATTTCCTAGCAAGTCTGGCCTTGATAGAGTACCCTGACTCATTTTCTAAGGGATAGTGAGAGACTGACTCAGTGACAGAGTGACCAATCAGCTTTCCCAAGGCACAGTACTATTTACTCTCAGATAAAAGTATCACTGAAAAAGCATGTTATAAAATGATAGCAGCTTACATGTGTGATATCTTACCGTGTAGTATGCATCATCATAAATGTGGCTGTGGTAGATACAGACATGGGTTTTTTGGGTTTTTTTCCTGTCTGTAACTAGATCTAGATTGTTTCTGTGAACTCCTTCTATTATACTATACTACCCTCTTAAACCAGAACAAGCCAGCATACGCAACTTTACCTACTGCTTACATCAGAAATACAACAATCTTTTTTTAATATTCCATGTGTTCAGAACAGATTACACATCTCAGTGTAATTATTTTTTAAGCTTTCAAGCGGCCAAAGGCTGACATCCCTCACAAATGGATATGTTTCTTTTTGTCTCCTAGTAACTTTGACGGTCTTTAGTAACCTAAACTATTTACCCCAGGAACAAAATCATGTGCTGCCTCCATTTCATTTCAGGTTACTGACGCACTCAGAGCTTGCCCCTTTGCGAGCTTCTCTAGTGCCCATGGAATACTGTGTAACTCGTTTCTTCCAGGAGTGTGATGCTGACAAGGATAAACATGTCTCTTTGAAAGAATGGTGCCACTGCTTTGGAATTGAAGAAGGTAAATCCAGAAGGGTGAGAGGAAGACAGGCTGAGAAAAATGCTTCCATTCAAACTAAGCAGCGAAAAATCTCACTTCATAGACAAAAGCTAAGAAACTCTGGCTAGGATATTGTGAATAGCCATGTTGTAAGGCAAATGGAATGGAGATGACAATCTCAGAAGAGTTCTTTGTTAGTTCAGTTAATCATACTTCAGCTTTTCCTTCAGAAATACTCTACAAGTTACTTTTCAGTGGATGAGATATCCAAGTACATAAAGAGTGATCTAACTAGTACTATGGTCAACATTTTACTGGTTTCAGGTTTGCAGCTATGTAAACAAGAAAATTTGGCTCTCTTCCTTTGACCCTGCAGTTGACTCCTTACGTTCTATTCAAGAAGTAGGAGTCAGTCTCACTTTTGCACTTGGTATCTGTATTTCAGTTATCTATAGTTAGTCCATACATTGGATGCTTGTTGCCTGGTTTTCCTCTGCTGACTGCTTTTCAGTGTCATACCAGTCCATTGACCACCTGATTCAGCAAACTAGCATGGGTGATTCTTTTGCTACCCACTTATGTCATCACCTGGAGTAGTATATTTAGAGCAGTCCTGCAGGGCAAGCCCTGGTTTCCAAACCTTGCTTCAAAAACTTTTTTTAAATGATAAAATACATGAGCAGTCCTTTGGGCAGAGACCAAAACTCTAGGTTCTCCCCACTTAGGTGAGTGTTCTAGCCAGAAAGCTGCAGAGTTATGCCCCTTCTCTTTAGTGAATC